GTGTAACAAATACATTTCATCACTGCCCTCAAGGTGGCGCTTCATTTCAAACAATATTTAAATGGGAAGGAAGAGGTTGGTTTTCCCCATATAATATTGCACAATATGAAGAACATTCTTCAATGTGTAATTTAGGCATATATTCCATTAAAAAACCATAAATGAATATAAGTTGAAGTATGAATGTAAGAAGTTACCTTATTAATTAGTAATCAGGAAGCTCTACATTTTCTATACCTTTGGGGGGGGGCACTTTGTTTTTATTTCAGTGGCTGTAAATTTTACAATCAGAGCCATTTCATTCTCTGCTCCCTCCTGGAATTGAGGCATCACTGCCCCCAAAATATAAACACGACCACGAGATAAATCTTCCTGTTACAGCCCTTCCATATATGAACTGTGCAAGAGTGTAATGCAAATTCATATCAATGGAATTTATTCAATAGAAGCATTGCCTGGAAGAAGAAGAAAAAAACCCTATTTCCAGGGGCATCTGATCTCATTTGTTAAAGTGCAATATTAAATATTCTAATAAATAGTTTTAAACCTACAAGTGCTAATTATTTCTTCAAGAGCTTGCCTTGCCGTTTAGCAGAGAATAGGATCGTTATAGTTAAAAGGCAGGTTAAAGCATAAACTGGTACTTGAACAGCAAGAGTTTTAAAAGCTACGGTGCCAGCTGTGGAATGAGAGTGACATTTGAATTCTGCTTCAGACAACCCAATATTTTTGAAACTGCATTTTGTTTTAATGTAGAGGAGGAAACGGATGGTGAAGCATACTTTTTAAAAGCCATCCCATTCTGGCATCTTTCACATTATTGCAAAGTTGAAATAGACCCCCAATCCCATTGATCTGAGGTCCCGGATCTGGTGGGGGAATTGACAGCAAAGGAGACCCAACAGTGGGAAGGAGACCTCCTAAAAGATTTGCTCAGGGGCCACTCAATTCTCTAAACCTAGAGGGGACCTAAAGCCAAAGTTTGGTTTTCTTCTAAGGAACTAGTTTTGAATGGGATAGTTAACTTTTTTCTGAATTTTCTGCTTAAAGGAAAATTCTATTTTAGGAAAGGAAACCTGTTTGTCTATCCTTAACTACTAACACTGCCAATTCTTTACAAGTACAGTATTGCTTTAAGATGACTAACTCTAACCTAATAAACATTTGCTAAATGGGGCTGGGGGGAGAAACCCAGATGTCAAATTCTTTCACCTCAACAAATTTCATCATCTTGGCAATTCCTTCAACGTAATTTCAAAATTTTGTTTAAAACACAAGACTGCAATATTGTCTCCCATGGGGCCACAATATCATTGGATGCTCCTCACCAAGGTTAAAGGGACATCCAATTGGATCCCAGATCCCATCTCTGATATATATTGATAGCAGAAGAATCTTAACCTCTCTCCTTCTCTACTTCATTACATCTCCCAAAAATGTAAATCACACTGCAATAAATAGAATGGAAATACTTATTTTTACAGACAAACTCAAGACACCAATGTTAGCAGGCCAATTGCCCAAAAATGCTTGGAACAATTCTAGATAAGAACATATTGACTGCATTCACTTACCTCATTATGCAGTAAATTTGGCTTAATAAATATACTGTACAATAAAATTGTATACAATACACTGCAGTACAATGCAATGAATAAAAACTGATGTCAAAGAAACCATGTGATGATTTAATATGACAATCTGTTCTGGTTCACACAACATAATTAAGGCAATAACTGTTTCTCAAGTCAGTTTGGTCTCGTTGTTAAGGCGCCAGGCTAGAAAGTGAGAGTTCAAATCCTGTCTTACCCATGAATGTCAGCTGAATGATTTTGGGCCAGTAATTCTCTTTCAGCCCAACCCACCTCACAGGGCTGTTGTTATGGAGAAAATAGGAGGAGGAAGATGTGTTCAATAAAGAGGAGGAAGGTGTATTTGGTATGTTCCCTGCCTTGAGTTACTTATAAAAAATAATAAAGGTGAGGTACAAATAAATAAAAATCACCTAACCCTATTTTAACTAGGCAAGCAAGCTACAGGTAGTTCTCAACTTACAATAATTTATTTATTCAAAGTTACAACAGCACTGAAAAAAGTGACCTACAACTGGTCCTCACAATTCCAACTGCTGCAGCATTCCCACAATCATGATCAAATTTTGAGTGCTTGAGAATCGGCATGTATATATCCCAGTTATAGCATCCTATTGTCTTGTGATCACCATTTGCAATCTTTCCAGCCAACCCTCGACAAGTCAGTGAGGGAAGACAGATCCATTTAACTATTGTGTGGTTCACTTAACTGTAATAATTTGCTTAACAACTGGCCAAAGAGTCATTAAAAAGAGACTATAACAAGTACCTTGCTTAGCATGACTATCTGTATATGTCCCCAATCATTGAGAATAGAAAAGAGACAGAGCTAGGATGATTTTTTTTTAATTAAAGGGGCAGAGTTCATTATTTATTAAATCATAAACATTCAAATATGTTAAATCATAAACATTCAAATATGTTTTAAAGCTAAGCTGACATACAATCAAGATCTAGCCTAAAGCTTCCCATACATATTGGACACTATATAAAGTATGAAGTGGTACAGTAGGAATACTTTAGCCATATAATACAGAAAAGAATAAAGAACTGCCGTTCTGCAGATCATGTTTAGCTTTAAATCCACCATACATTCTTTAAGAAGAACCTTCATCATTTAGAATCAGTCCATGTTTCCTGCTAAAATGATCCAGTGCTGTCTGGGGATATTCTATTAAATGTTAATATATTCTAGAACAAAATTATCTGGGCAGACTATAATGTTATATGGTTATCTATTACAAGGATCTTACAGGAGAGAAAAAACACACCATTAATTTCTGGCCAGCTTAATCCATACATTTGCAGGTCCATCCAATCGACAAGGCACATTGGATAGGTTATTTGGGGAAATTCTGGAAAAGCCTACACATTTTAAGAATTGCCAAGGTTAAGAAACATGGGCGCAGTAGTGGGTTTCCAATTTTTTTTCCTACAGTTCTATGAGAGTATGCTGCAGACTCAATGCTACCCCATGGTAGCATTTACCATTTTAAGTAGCTGTAATCAGTCTGGATGCTTTTATCAACTCTGGGCTTGATAAGACACCAGATCTGTTCCACATGTATCAAGTCTCCCCATCTTACTCATGCCTTTTATTTTTACTAGGCAGATTCAGAATTTCTATTAAGCTATTAAAATTAATGAGTTTTTTGTTTGTCAAGCCCTATTCCGATAAGTGTGGCATAACTCTTGGAATCAATCCATGGCTCTAGAGTAAATAAATAATGGAAGGTGTAAAGAAATATATGAGGAAAGAAAGGCCCAGAATCTGAGAAATAAAATGCCTCTGGAAGATTGAGAAAATACATGATCTTTTAGTTATAAACTCTTTAAATTAAATCATGAGAGAAAACTTTAAAAAAATAGAGTAGCATTTTGTTACTGCGTTAATTTTCCATAAAATAATACTTTATCTTCAAACATGAAGTTTAAGCTCCTTATTGGGCTATTCCAATAAAGTTTTAAACGATCACAGAAGGTTATATCAATGTTGGAGCCAGCTGTGAATTCTCTAAGGCTTAAATTAAACAATCCCACAATTACCTGTGAAACTATTCACTCGTGAGAAATAGAAATAGGCTCCTTTTGCAGATCCTCATCACCCACCCTTTGACCCTGATCAAGGACATTCAGTGGATTTTAACTTTACCGTAATTAGTGCATAAACAAAAAAAATGTGAGAGTCATAACCTAACACCACTCCTCTCAATTAGCCTCCAGTGCCCCTCCTCTTTTCACCGCCCGGAGGAAGTTCCTGAATATTCCCTCTATAAATACCCCCAATGGAGAAGAGTTTGGTTCACAGCAATTCAGGCATCCGCTCGCCAGTGCCTCCCGCATCACAAGTGCGTCGTTTTCGAAGAACAGGGCGGAGAAAGTGGGCGAGACCAAAGGCTTTTCTGAAGAAGGATGAATTCAACACGGAGTAAGTAGCACTCGGGGCAGGTCCTTCCTCGTCGCGGCCGGGCGTGGCCCGAGACGAGAGGGTAAGTTTCCTTGTGGTGGCGCCTTGCTCGGGAAGGGCAGCTTTTTTTGGCGCCCCTCGCGGTGAGGGCTCCCCGGAGCACTTTTCCGCCGCCTTTGGGACTATTGTCCACCTTTGCGACTGAGGGAGGGAAGGAAGGAGGGACGAGTCCTGGCTTACCTTCCCGACCGCTCCTCCTTAGCACCGCCTTCAGGAATGTTTAAGAAGCTTTGAAATGCCCAGATTGGAAACCCGTTCTCTCCGGATTTGATTGTAGGAGAATAAAACTTGAGCTGGTTAAATTGTTTTATTTACAGAGGTCAAGACTGGCCTTTAAGAGGGAAGGAAAGGGGAATTCTGGCATGTGCCTCGAAGTTCTCCCAAAAGTTCAGAGAACGATAGACGAGGCTTCGCTTTCCAGCCTACTGATACTTTCGCCTTTTTCAAATGAGCTGGGCAACTGGGATTCGAAAAACCCGCTGTAGCTCTTGCGGGACCTCGCGTCAGGTGAAGCCAAAGACTGAAATAAACAGCGTTGCCACGTGATAGGGACGCTCCTGACGCGGAAAGGTTGGCGGCAGACCCGTATTCCGGGCTTGAGTCTCGCTGAGTTTCTTGCACGTGCTAGAATGATAGACTAATTTTGACAGAATCAGTTTTCCACTCACTTGCGCTTTGTACTTTCGTCTTGGCTCTAGTTATGGGGAGTTGAGCGGCGCCCCTTCAGCTCGAGTTTTCCTTGTTTTATCACAAAAGCGGCAGAAGGGACGTCGTAAGTGAAGAGGGTGGGCTGGAGCTGATAAATGATAATCACATAATGGTTTCAATCGTTTAGACATTGGTATCAGCTAGATATTTTAGTGCAGTTCATAGAGTGGGTCTAGTTTTTTAAACGACGTCTCTCCTTACCATTGTATATTTTATTTTCCCAGGTGGTCTTCTTCTTGTCAGTATTGCACTTTCTTGGTTAATGTGCTTAGGTGCACCTCACCCAGAATTTTCTGGAGATCCTGGCTTACATCAGTTTGTTTCGAAAAATAAGGAGTTTGCCATGCGGATAAAGGCTGATCTCCTTGTATTGAATGGGCTTCTGGTAAGTATATGCTGGGTGAAGAGATCTACAAAGAGATATACATATAGTTTGTAAAACAAGTTTCTCAGGTTATTTTAAAGGTGTTGGAGCTATATGTTATCAGCATTTATGAATTGGCTTTTGAGTCAATCATGTATTAAATTGCTGTATACCAAGTTTCTAACAAAAAGTAAAGGAACTGTAGTGGTAGAGGGAAACAAATCTATAGATTAATTAGAATATATTGATGAAAATTTCCAAGCCATTATGGTTATTGACCATGAAAGCCTAGACATTTATGAATTTCAGGTGTAATACAGCTAGATGAAATCCTATTTTTAAATCTAAAATTCATAAACTATCCCTATTATATTGAAACAATACAGAAGAATTTCAGACTAATGGAAAATGTTGAATAGTGGAAGGGAAAAAAATTGTCAGGTTAAATGTATTGAAGTAATAAACTTGAAGACTTTTGATTTTCTTCTGTTAAGCTTCCACTGAAATGTTATTTCAAAGAATCCCAAAGCTGAAATACCCTTTAACTCACTACTTAAATCAATGCATAATTTTAAATAATGGAGGATTTGGGGAAGAATCTAATATAAAAGACTTGAATGAGATAAGGTAGCACAGATATGGCTTTAAACCATTATTTTTGAGGGTGTGCGTTCAGTGTGCACTTAGATGTGCTAGTCTATTGCTTCATAACTCATCTACAGAAGTTCTTGCATTCTTGAACAAAGGAATTGAACTATTAATCAGTAGATCAGTTAGGATACCTGGTTAAAACTATGACGAAGCTACAGTAGAGCATTTGCAGTTGACTTCTCTTTTAGTTAGATGAAGATGCTTCATGTTATAAAACCACGTGCAATTGTTGAATTTGATCCACAACCTCCCAAACCCTTGTGGGAGTGGAAAATCAATCTTGCAAATGTTGAATTTCAACTTTTAGCAGCTATAATGAAGGAAACCAGCAGTTACAGTCCAGCAATACCTGCAAAACATAGAGTTTAAACTTAATAGTACTGAAAACCTGGCATGAAGAGTGTTATTTAGAGGTATCTTGATGCCCATAGTGCCAAATATCTTCTACAATAGCAACATAATTGAGAAAAGTGATAGACAAATAATTAGAGCATTATACATAGAGAAAATCAAAAGTCATAGTGACTGAGATTTTCACATAAAATACTTGGAACATCATTCAGATATGGGTTCCTTTTCTAGTACTTCCCATAAATTACAGGTCAGTCTTCCAAAATGTCTTAATCTCATGTATTTCCTAGCACTGTGAATAGAGCCCCTCCCTACTAAAATTACACAAATATTTCTGTCTCGTGTTTCCGGAATACATGTAAGATTGTGCCAATTCAGAATGTCAAAGCTCAAGGGAGGAAAATTGTTTGCAAACAAGCCAGCAAACTTTAGCATTTTTGATGCCTTCCTCTTTGGGTGTTGGGAGGGAATATTTTGACTGAATCTGTCAAATGAATATGAAATATATTGAAATTTAAGGCTTACTAAATACAAAGGGAGTGGAATTGCTTGATGCTCCGTTGCAATTCTTTAAATAATTATTTTAGTTTGGATTGTGTGGATAGTGATTTGTATAAGAATAGCTTATGGTGAATAGGGCTCTAAATTCAGAGGTAAAATTTATCCTTTATTTTAAGAATAATCTTAAAGCCTGTTCTCATTATAAATTGTGCCACATTGTGCTCAGTTTTAAAGGGTTCAATCAGATTTCCCTGCACTACAGGGGAGCATCAATGAATCCAGTAGGATTTTCTATCATTTTTCCACTAACTTCTAGTGTCTTCATAAAATCACTCAGATGTTATTGAAGCAATATTAAAGTTCTCATTACTGTTGTTTTGGTCCAGCAATGGCTGGATAACTCCAAAGATGCTGTAAGATATTAACGAAGAAATTACCTTAGTCACGGCTAACTTTAAGTTTGATTGGTTTTAACTGTTTAGCTCTGTGTGGCTAATATGCATTCAATGCCTCCCTATTTTTAGTAGAGCATAATTTGTAAATCATGAAGATGAAAAGATTTGTTAATCATGAGGAAGATGAAAAGAGCAATCAAAATCTCCTAATCGCTGAAAGTCATATCTCCAACAGTCCTCATTAGCTTCTGAGATTTCTATAGACATTACTCATACACTTTAAAGCATCCTGCTCAAAGATTTAGAAACTTGGTGGGAAATTTTAAATGGTGAGTCTCAAGATGAGTATTTGCTATGTCAGAATGTAGCATTATTCAGTCCTTTTCCTTACTGCTATTTGCATATCAGCCATACACAGCTAAACCGTGAAAACCTATAAATCTTGAAGTTAGCTGTGACTAAGATAATTTCTTCATTAATAGCTTACAGTGTCTTTGGAGTTATCCAGCCATTGCTGGACCAAAACAACAGTAATGAGAACTTTAGTATTGCAAACTGAGTACAACTTGGCACAATTTACAATGAGGACAGGCTTTAGGATTATTCTTAACAATAAAGGCTAAATTTTACCTCTGAATCTTTATATTCATATAAGTTAACAGTATGCATTCTTTTAATAAGTACATATTAAACCTTGCTCAGATTCTCTGAGCTTCATTGGATTTTGAAGTATAATAAAAATAGGATTAGGGGACAGGAAGGATTTTGTAAAATACTGCTTTTAGGGAGCAAGGATATAAAAGCACTTAAATATGTTTGCTCTTTTTTTAAAAAAAATCACAGAAATATCTCTTCAATCTTTTCCTTTTTTTTTTTCCTCCAGCGTAAAGCATTGAGCTTTGGCAGCAACAGAGAACTGATGGCAATAGAGAAACTCTTGGGCATTCAACAAGTTAATATCTCTCATTGCCAGCAGGACCCCTGTGACATGGTAAGTAGCAACACCCATCTGATTGTAACTTAAACACATTTTTCCCTTCGATGAAGTACTAGGGTAGCAGCACATGATTTTCTAACCAATCATGGCAATGTTTGTGATTTTAAGAGCATCTGTGAATATTCTCACAGCCAATGTGCTGTTTGTCTGCCTAGACTCAATTCAGCAAATTTAAGACATATGGACTTCAACTCCCAGAATTCCCCAGCCTACATGACTAAGTATCCTTCCTTATAAGTAAGCTGATAAGGATATTTCTTAATCACCTTTCTAGATTTTGGGGATCCTTTTTTACCCAGATTGGCTCTTTTTCTAGCTGGTGATTAATTTGTCTGAAAAGACAGTGTGTTTGACCCTAGCCACCAACTATTTTTAATTTCTTAAAAATGCTTTTGGAAATTATTTGGTTCTCAGGTATACGTGTAAGTATATAATTATACTTTATCATATTGCCTCCTTTTTTTCCTTTTTGCTGAAGGAAAATAAATGCCTTTAAAATTAGAATGAGTTAAGACAGGACCTGTGTTGGTGCTCAGGAGGACCTTTTCCTATTTTAACATTAACAGTTTACATATTTACAAAGATACTCTTGGAGATTGTATTATCCATAATCAGATACTATAAAAGTACTGCAGACAAACCAAAGCAGAAACAAAAGCAATATTGATTTTAAGCCAGTAATGGTATTCACTCCTGCAAATGCCCACCTACCTTATTGTGGATTCTATTCTTGCAAGTTTTTTACACATTCCCCATAACAAGGATATGCACCCTTTGTGTAGTTCCATGTAATATCAATAATCATCTAAATCAGTAGCTTGATTTCACTGGAGATGAAATAATCGCATTTACTGTCATTGGCCCATCTTTTTTCTAATCCTAATAATTTTAAAACAACCTTTTTAATGGGGCTTCCACTGATAGTACACATGCATTAAGTGTACTTTCTTAAAAAGTGTATAACTACACTTAACTCCTAGATGGGTGCCTACTTCAAATTTGGCCATTAGTACTGCTGATGTCAAATTCAACTGTGAAATATTTGTTATTTCTTAAAAGATGAATAGGCAAACCCTAAACAGTAATGAAAGAAGACAGCAATGCACTTATTCTAATTCTCTGATCTTGAGTCTAAATTGATTTTTTTAAAAAGCAGACAGTTTCAGGGTGATTATATTTTATGTATCTATCCAATATCCAACATCTCCAGAGAAGAATATTACAAAATAGGTAAATATCACTGATAACAGTATTAAGAGAAAATTCCCGTCTGTTTTCCCAGTAAGCATATCTTAAGAGCTCTACATTCAAGTCTAGTGCATAATCAACATCTATTTTATTGTTTAATAATTAAAATGTATGTTTATTCAAAATACATTTTTCTAGCTGCCACTATAACTTTGTCAATTTTTCCACTGTTACTATATTATTTCCTAGTATATACTGACTGGTTATTGTTTAAAATGAGGTGAAACGAAGTCACTTTTTATCCTTCAGTTTACCCTTCGTTGCTTAATTTAAAACAGTAGAAAATGTCCATATTTATCCATATTAAGGCAATTCTAACATTTCATCCTGGATAGTGTCACTGTTGCCTTATCTCTAACCTCAGTTGTAATTAATATACCATAGCTTTTAATTGTGGCACAGCAGAATCAAAATAGGTGTACATTTTCTTGTGGAAATCACTTTTTTCATAATTTCAATAATTTTGTCCACTCTCTGGAAAACGCAGCTCAACTTGTCTCTCAACACAAGTGGTACAACACCATTGTAATCAAATAAATATTTTTCTGAAATTTGAATAAGGAATGCATAATAACTTTTTGTAATAATTCCCTATTATATTTATATCATGTAGGAAAGCTGCTTCAATCAGATACAGGCAGGCCTCCAAACCTACTCTGGTTACCTCTCGCATATTCACCAAATCTTAACAACTTACTCTGACAAAGTACTTAGTGTTCAACTGGATATTTCCAACTTGTCCCACAACATTCAACAACAGGTGAGGAGTTGCATAAATACTCTAAGTTGGGAAAGAATTAGAGCCAGGTAGTGAGGCGAAACCACTCAATTCTAAGGGGAATATAAGAAATGTTTAATATAGGTATGAAGGTGTGAATCTGTTATAATAATTTAGCAAATCACCTACCTGGACATTAGCAATGTTCTCTTGGTGAATTTGATGAACTATGAAGGTAAGTTTCTAAAAATTGCAGATATGGAGAGTGCTTTAGATTCAGTTTCCAAAGGATACATGGAACATGAATAGCATCTGTTGCAACACTCAAAGGCTTTATCTTTTTGTGGGATCACACAATAGCTGTGAAAGGGAAGACCATTGGGATTTTCCTGCTATTGAACACAGGGGTTATTTTAGTATTCCAGAGCACTTTTTTTAGCATCAGATCCAAAGTACTCTATGGCCCTGGTATTTGCACGATGTAAACTACTCAGTCCTCATAGAGTAGTGGTGGCTAGATGCTTTTAAATGGGATCTAAGAAATGGACTGCTTCAGCACTCAAATCCAGCCCAAAGTGCTGAGTTTGCGGGAAGATTTTTTAAATTACTGACACACTTCATCTTCAGGAATAACCTCTGTTGCTATTACTTGTTGAACAATTGTATATCGAGTCTTGTAAAAAGAAAACTTTGCCTTTGTCAATTTATAAGCATAAATTTCAAAGTAATAAATACTTAGGCTTTTGCTATTCGCATTTTGGATAATCCTAGTGCCTGGCTTTTGCACACCTTTCTATGTATTGAACTTCATTTTAGATGGTATGAGCATTTTTCCTGTTCATGCATTAATCCTAACATATACAAACTGCACCAAGGCAATTCTCAAGCATGCCTTATAAAATTGTTGCTGCAACTGTGGTAGGGCAAAGAGTAGGGATGTGTTTATGCATGAGGAAGTAAATATATCTGTGTGCATTATTTTGCTTACACCAGCTCAAATATGTATTTAAGAGCCTATCCCTTGACCCACTGCTCCTTGTGGAGAAAAATGCTTCTCTCTGCTTTTCTGAAGGCTGGGACCATGTTTTTCCCTGCTGAGTTACATCCCATTGCCCCGTGCCTTGATACACACAGTGCTTATTTATTAAAATAAGGTCATTGAAGAGGACTTGGGGATATGATAGTGACAATATTGGCTGCAATAGGATTGATCCAAGAATAACATGCGAGGCAAGGCCGATTTAGATAGTGTTGGAGTTAATATGCAAATGTTAATTATTAATATGAGATTCCTCAATTTCCCTAATCTTTGTTACAGATGGAAGAAAGCAGCCTGACCAGTGTTGTCTATCCACAGGCAGAAAATGAGCCCAGATTTGTGGAAGTTCAAGGAGAAATTGGAAGTTACCTGGTCCTCTGCAAACTCCAGAAATTTATGGATATGATTTTCCGGGCCCTGAGGCACTGTAGCACATAAGGGAAATCTATGGAGAATTCTCACAAAAGACCTTGAAGCTGAAATAGTTCTGTGCACAAAAGGAAGTCCTAAGCCCTGCTTTCGTCTGGCAGGATTGCTCTGGCAGGCAGAATTCCAGCTTCTCTGTCTTTGTTTTTAATTTATTTTAAATGTTTATACACCATTTTAATACACTGAAAGTAGGAGACAATAAAGTAATTCAGATAAATTTAGCTCTAAATGAAATAATATTAACTGAGTTTGTACAACATGTTAGATTAGACTAAAGTTGAGCTGGGTTGCTTGAGATTCAGCATGTTGTGAAAAGCAAGCTATTGTCTTCTATCGTGAACACTCCATTCTCTTAAGTCACTGTTTCTCAAACTCAGCAATTCTGGCTTTGAGGAAAGTTGGAAGTCTTAAGGGTTGCTAAGGTTGACAAACACTGGGTTAAGTTGTAATTCGTTTTAAAACTGACTGTTTAATTTTTTTATAGATTAGCATTCATTCACTTCTATTGGTATGATAATCAGAGAAGAGCATCTCACACATGTACGTGAAAATGGGATGGCAAGTTCCCAGTTCACTCAGGCTCTTCTTTCCCTGATGAGATATTACTGTGATAAGTTTTTAATAGTTATGAGTTTTAATTTATTAGCATATTTAATATTTATAGTGTCAGAATTGTTGAATCTTGAATTTGGACTTCAGTACTAGATATTTATTTATTATTTATACCAATGCTATCAGATAAATGGAAAACAGTTGTTTAGATTTCAGCCATTGAGCGCACAGTTCACAGTGCTTATAGCCACGTGTGTTATGTATCTTGAGGTACATACAACATTAAACTACTGTTTAATATTTAAACATAAGAGTATTAGCTGGTGGTAGCTAGATGAAACTACAGGATGAAACGTAAGGGAAATTTGCAATTCCTGTATTTATTAGTATCTGGGGTATACAGCATAGTCTGTGTCCTTACCACTTTTTACAGGTATGAAATAGAATGCAGGCTTGTTTGGCCTCTTTAAGGAAGAGGTTCAGTTCATAACTTTCATCATCCTCAATCATTTGCCATACTATTGTGCAGAAGATAATTGTAGCATTAAAAGGTAAATAGTTCCCAGACTGCTTAACCTTACTTTATATACAGTAATCCTGGTCCAAAATAAATTCCTGATTTAAGCAAACTAGTAAACAGCACTCCCTCTGCCATTGTGTCAGCATATTTGCTAGACAATTTCTGATATCACCAAGCCGACCATGTTACGTCACCAGGCATCTACCTCTTCCCTTTAAGAGTCCGGTGGTAGAGGTAGACAGACCGATTCTAAACAGGGCCAAGTGGTTAAGTTGATACCATTTCAAGCTTTAAAAATCCATAAGTATAAAGTGTTCGTTCATTTGCTGTAGAATTCTATGTAGAGGTATTATTTAATAATTATCTATGGAACTTATTTATGTTACAGTGGAATTAAATTATCATTTAAATGATTTGAACACAAAGGTAAACAGCCATTAGAGTTGCACTCAATTCCTAACTACTTGAATACTATGTTTCTTTGTTTTAATGCAGTCCTTTGCCAAAATCGCTGATTTCTATTGAATCCCATCGGGTTCAAAATAGCTATTCATTTTGGGAGAACGTTATAGTAAATTTGAGCGTTTGTTTAAAGTTTGCACAGAATTCTTGTCATTCAATTTCCCCAGCTGCTAATGTCTACTATAACTGAATGAATTTGAAATGATATTGCTTGAACATTATATAGTGTCAGTATCTTGAATCTTGTTCAAAGGAGCAATTTCATCAAAACTTTTGACAACTTTTATTTTCTAAATGCTGTTTTATTTTTGTGTTTAGTTGTGGTATAGCCAACACATTCCATTTGAGGTAAAATGTCAGCATTCCTGTCTGTCAGTTCTTTGAAGAGGTGAGAAATAAATTGTAAACAGTTAATCTAAGCTGTAACTACTTCTATGATCATGACACTAAATGCAATGTTAAATTTTTACCTGTTTTTAAATAAATTTTCTATCACAACAATCTCTAGTGCATTATTGTCATTTTTCTAAGCTTTTTTGAAAATAAAGTTGAATGAGGAACATAGAAAGCTACAGTTGTAATTTTCAAAAAGATAGTAATGTAATGGCTCCTGCCCTTTGGAATACCTCTGGATGAGATCTTCTCCCACCCTCCTGGTCTTCTATAGGGCTTGAAGACCTGGCTCTGTCAGTTGCTTGAGGCCTCAACTTGGGGGCAGAGGAGTGTTTCACACTGGAGGTGGTTGATGGATCAATAGCAGATTCCACCACCCACCTTGCTCCTTCCCCCCTCTTTTTACCATAATTTTAATAATTTATAGTTTTATTGCTACTAGATATATATATATATAAAACCCAAGAGGCAGGCCAGGGTGGCCTACCCTAACACCCATTAGAAGTCCAGAGCTTTTACTAAGATCAGTTCCTAATGAATAAACAATGCAAGATCACCTGGGCTTGGAGTTGTACAAGCGCTAAGGATGGAGGCATTCTCAGTGCAAATAGGTTCTTCAAAATACAAACACTTGCACATGTTCCATTCTAATTTAAATAAACTTTTTACTGAAATACAATGAAAACCTCAAATTACTACTGAAAACCATGTAATCATTGTCTATCATTTGACAACCAGCAAGTAGATTCTGAGATAATTTATCATATCTGAATGATGTATTGGAGCTCAAGAGCTCTCATGGAAAGTGCTAATATGATAGCAGATGATAGCAAAGAAATATGATCCAATCCTTCCAACATCCTGTCACTAATCCTTCCATCGCCCATACCATTCAGCCAGAACAGATGAAGCTTCTTGGATGAGAAGCGAAATGTCTTCCTCAAGGAAAAAACAATTCAGTTGCCTTTTGAAAAAGCACCTTTGAGACAATTATGACCTGGATTATTGAGAATCTCTACAGAAATTGTGTGATAGGAATTATAAGTTAATGATGTCAACTGCATATAAAGAGAATTTGTATAAGATATTTTATAGCTGGCATTTTGCACCGGTGAGGTTAGCAAAGATGTTTAAAGATAAGTCAGCTAAATGTTGGAAATGTCACCAGAAACCTGGATCTTACTATCATATGTGGTGGACGTATGGAGAAGCAAAAACATATTGGATGGAAATAAAGACATGATTGGAAGAGATGATAAAACAACGTATTGAGTTAAAACCAGAAATATTTCTGTTAGTGATTTTACCTGAAGTTTATAACAGAGAACAGGTAATCAGAGTTGGAAGGGACTTTGTAGGTCATCCAGTCCAACCCCCCGCCCAAGCAGGAGACCCTACACCATTTCTGACAAATGGCAGTCCAATCTCTTCTTGAAAGTCTCAAGTGATGGCGCTCCCACAACTTCTGAGGGCAACCTGTTCCATTGGTTGATTGTTCTCACTGTCAGAAAGTTTCTCCTTATTTCCAGGTTAAATCTCTCCTTGTTCAGTTTCCAACCATTGTTCCTTGTCTGGCCTACAGGTGCTTTAGAAATATATAACAAAGAGAATGTATATTTAATTATTCATGTACTAACTGCAGCTAGAATGGTATTTGCACAACATTGGAAAGGTAAGGAGATTCCCAAAGACGAAGTAATCAGAAAAATATTAGAATGTGCAGAGATGAATAGATTAACACTAGCAATTAAGGAGAAAGAGCAAACCTCAGCAGTGGTGGGATTCAAATTTTTTTACTACCAGTTCTGTGGGTGTGGCTTGGTGGGTGTGGCAGGGGAAGAATACTGTAAAATCTCTATTCCCACCCCACTAACCTGCTTTCCAGCTCCGTTCTCCTATGCAGAGCAACAAAAGAGGACCCAGCCTATCAGCTGGGACTCAGGAGGCAGAGAATAGATGGGGACGGGGCCAGTCAGAGGTGGTATTCGCCAGTTCTCTGTACTACTCAAAATTTCTGCTACCAGTTCTTCAAAACTGGTCAGAATCTGCTGAATACCATCCTCTGAAACTGAGTTTTATATGATATGGAAAATATTTTATCTATGGTTGGAGAATAAAAAAGGAATTTGGAAATAAAGAATAAAGGAGAATAGAAAACAAATTAAGATAGAGATAGAAAAAGATAACTGTTATTATATGTATGATGAGGATAATGAGATGTAACCCCAATTAGGTACTATCACCAGAAGAGTTGTATAATACTTAGCTGATTGATGTATCTTAACTCTAAGTTTAGATAAATAATATCAATGTGAACATAAATGATGTTGTAAATGGTGAAGGATGTGGCACAGAGGTGTTTGTGCCTAGACGACACACTGCTTGAGAAAAAAATGAAATGTTTGTATTTTTGAAACTGAAAAATAAAAAACTTATTATAAAAAAAAAATCTACACAGACATGCTGCCCCAACACTTTCTCCAATCATATAGTTTAAAAGCTACAATTATATGATATCTTAACATTAAATTTTTAAAATATTTATCTACTGATCCTATAGGGCAGTGGTGGACAACCTAAGGCACAAATGCCACAGGTGGCATGAAGAGCCCTCTCTGTGGACACGCACACCGTCGCCCTAGCTCAGCTTCACCGCACATGCGCACACACCTCCCACCGGTCAGCTGGCCTTCGGGTCTGTGCCATGCATGTATGGGGGGTGCATGCACAGGAGTGGGGCACATGGTGGGCACATGCAAGGGGGGCAGGGGGTATGCACAGGGGGTGCATCTTGCTTTTTGGGTATGTGTGTGCACAACATTGGAAAGGTGACAAGATTCCCAAAGACAAGGAAGTAATCAGGAAAATATTAGAATGTGCAGAGATGAAATGAGAAAGAGCAAACTTCAGCAGTGGTGGGATTCAACAAATTTTACTACCAGTTCTGTGGGCATGACATGTCTTGGTGGGTGTAGCAGGGGAAGGATACTGTATTCCCATCCCACTAACCCACTTTCCTTTGCAGGGCAACAAAATAAGACCCAGCCAATCAGCTGGAAATTCTAAAACTTTTGGGCGTGCCCAAAAGGTTCACCATCACTGCTATAGGGCATGAACAGGATTAAAGGGTCTTCTTTATCCAACAGAAAACAGCTATTAGGCAGAAAAAATAAATACCCAAGTAGAAAATAACAAACTAACAGATGCTAGTAAAATTGAATTTTATTATTTTAAGGGCACACTTGTCTAAAACTTACCAGGAGTAATACAAAACAATATTTACAGTGTATGTATAGCAAGTTGATTCTTACATGATTAATCATGTGGCCAGAGTTATTTTGGAGCTAAGCCAGAAGTAAAAGTGTGTGTGGGGGGGGGGGGGAGAAATCCAAGAGGGCACTGTATCCTGTCAGGTGAATGACTGTCTCACTTGCAGAGAAAACATGACCCAACTTGTCCATTTGAGTTCACTCGGGTTAACTCTCTATGACAGAGCTTCCTAGGAATCAGTTTCAACCGATATGTGCTATTATATAAACCAGAAAAATAAAACCGGATATCAGAATTATCAAACTAATTCTAAAACTGGTTAGATAATTTTGGTTGTGAAATTTAATG